GCGAGCGCTCTACCCCTGAGCCACCTACTCGAGGCTTTGTAGAAAATGTCATCGCTTCAGCCTGCCCAGCTGTTGGTTTATTTGTATCTGAACTTTCTGTGGCTTATTATGAGTCCCCGTGTGTGTGTGTGTGTGTGTGTGTGTGTGTGTGAGAGAGAGAGAGAGAGAGAAAGGTTTTGTCCCTGAATGGGTGAGTGGTTTTGCCCATATCCAAAGCAAATTGTAGAGAAGAGGAGGAGGAGGAGGAGGAGGAGGAGGAGGAGGAGGAGGAGGAGGAGGAGGAGGAAACAATGCTCAGACTGCAGATGAAAGTACTGGAAGCGGGCTTCCATTTGGATTTAGCAGCAGTGCTGTGCATCAACCCACACGCAGAGTCGGAATATTCATGAATTCTAAAAGAGGTGGACAATGGCTGGGACAGACAGCCTTGGGAAATGTCAGCAGAAGGCAAAACGCCGAACTGGGGACGGGGAACTACCACACAGGAGCACCCCATCACCAAAGGAAGCGGGGAGCGCCGGCTGGCTGCACCCAGCCTCAAGCAGGCTCTCAGGAGACTGGCACCAGCCAGGGGAAGACGTAGACAACTCAAGATCCATTTTGGGGGGGAGGGGAGTGAGTCTTTGCAAGTTGTTCCTTGGTTTTTACTCTGGCATTTCACTCATCAAGATAGTCATTAATTAAAGGATCTCTGTCTCTATCTCTAGATCTCTAAATAGCAGCATTTGGTAAAAGAACGTTTTCTCTGAACGAGGTCCATTCCTAAACCACGAAAAGTATGTCTGTCCTCACAAAGATAAAGGTTTTCTTATTCATGTCTCTAACCAAATCAAACAAAGCAAAACCAAACCAAAAAGGAAAAAAAAAACCCACACACAAAAAAACCAACAAAACGAATTACTGCTTCCCGCACACCATCAATCCTTAGGCCGAGGCCCTGTTCACCTGGGAAAATGTAACGGTTTCCTGCAGATCAGAAACTTTACTTCCTTTCCACCTTCTGCCCTTGGGTTTGGTGAACACCGACCTGCAGTGAAATGGTTTCTATTGTCCTGAAAACCTGACAACTTCCTTTAAAAAAAAAAAAGAGTAACAAAAAAAGTGCTATAGAAAAGCAGTCTCCTTTAAGCAGGAAATATCATTTCATTGTAAAAAAAAAAAAGTTAAAAAAAAAGAGTGGTAATCCAAGTCTCGGAAACTGTTCTGAATTATTTCAGCAGACTCTTTTAAAAAGGGATTAGCGGGGCTTTGGGACCAAAATCCTTCTGTTTTATTCAATCTCTGATTTTATGTTATAATTGCTGGCTGTAAAGGCTCTGGAATTAGTGTGCGGGCACTGTCAGGACACAGCGCAGGTGTTATTCTATGGCTCAGCTTTTTAATTAAGGAGAGAGGTAAGAAAATGCAATCATAAAAACACTTTTGTGAGAGCTGAGAACATTCAGCCACTGCGTGAATAAAGCCTTTCTTTATACCTTCCTGATAGGTCAGCCATAGAGGCGCTGACTTACGACCTTTTCACAGCTAGACAATGGTCCCCGGCCCTTCTCACCTTGTCTGCCGCACAGAACCTTTCTCCCAGTACAGATCTTATGGAAATTGCCTTAAGTAGCTTGACTTCCACAAAAGATACTGCTTTTAGAATGGATACAAACCCAGCCTGGACCGCATGCTCCCCGCTCCTGTTCCTTTTTCCCTGAGGTAAGGGGGGAGAGACAGGGGAGGGGTACATGTGGGCAACCCGAGGAATGGATGGGGGGCCGAATCTGCCTTGAATCTTGCCTACGCCTGTCCCCCAAATGCACGCACGTGTGCACGCGCGTGCACACACACACACACATACATACAGATCAGTGGCCCAGGTGGTTGCCGCCATCCCTGAAGAACAGAAACCAAGTGGCCTCTTTCTTAGCCTGGCGGGAGGTGGCTGGTGCCTGGAATCCTAGCAGTTCAGGGGGCTGAGATGTGAGGATCACGGATTCAAAGCCAGCCTGAGCAGGGAAAGCCCCGAGAGACAGTCACAAATTAATCGGAGAAATGCCAGAAATGGAGGTGTGGCTCAAGTGGTAGAGCGTCGGCCTGGAGTAAGAAAGTTAAAGGAGAGTGCCCAGGCCCTGAGTTCAAGGTCCAGTAAGGCCCCTACCAAAGACACAAAAGGGAGGGAGGGAAGGAGGGAGGGAGGGAGGGAGGGAGGGAGAGTGGTCAGGCCTGGGCACTGTGCAGCATTCCTGGAGGCAGCCTCCTGCAGCAGGCTGTGGGAAGTTTTCAAGTTTTCCCCAGTTCTCCCATTCCTGTCTCCCCCCAGGGACCCGCATCTGGGAGACCAGCTCCCCCAAACTCTCCCACTGAAAACCTGGGGTGGTCCCAGTATTGTGAATCCTGACCCTGTGTAGATGCCCGGCTCTGCCTGGGGGGGCCAGTGCCCACCACCTCCTCTCCCAGCCCTGCCCCCCACCACCGTGGGGGTAGGACTGGGGACCTGGGATCCACGGCGGCCCCCGTGGCCCATCCAGGCCTTGCCCTGGGCCCGGCCTAACAGAGAACAATGGAAGTATTAGGATATCAGTCGGTCTCGCACCCACCGATCATGCGCTCAACGATTTTGTTTTCACGGCTGAGGGGGCTTTTTTTTCCAATGTAAATCAAGCGCTTTAGTTATTAAGGCCTAACACTAATCTCCAACAACCTTGACATAATGTGGCCTGGTGCTCGGGCCTACTTCGCACCTGCAGTCTGAATGGAGCCCCTTGTCGGGGGGATACGCTTGTTGGCGGGCTCGCTGGGGATGGAGTGAATAAGTCAAGCTTTGTGAACACCCGTGCGCTCTTCCTCCGCCTTTGATCACCGAAAATGTCTTCTAATTTGTCCCCCTTTTTTTTTCATTGTAACAACGTCTTCAAGCCCCTTTCTATTTTTCCCTTCCAAACCACATTTTTATAAAGAACATAAATCGCCCCCCCAAAACAAAAGGGGCGCGCCCCAGCCCACGGGAGGCTTCCGTGCTCGGGCTCTTGCTGCTGCTGCTGCATGATTGCTGGTTCTCCTCTCTCTCTCTCTCTCTCCCTTCTTCTCCCCCCCTCTCTGTCTCTCTCTCCCTCCCTGCCTCTCCTTCTCTCTTTCTCTGTCTGTCTGTCTGTCTGTCTGTCTCTCTCTCTCTCTCTCAGAACACTCTGGGGCCAGCGGTGGACAGCGATGAAGTCCCTCCCGGCTCAGGACAGCCAGGGTGCCAGCCTGCGTTTCTCAGACCGCAGGGAGTGTGCTGAGGGGCCCACATGTCTTCCCCCAGGCTCCTGTCCGGTCCCACCTGCCCCACGCCTAAATCCTCCACGGAGGAGCCTCCCCCCCACTCCAGGAACGGAACCCCCAGGCCCACAGACGTCTCTGCGTCCCCGGAAGAGCGCCCACTCCACCCCACCCCCGAAAAGCCTGCAGGACCACTGAGGAGACTGTCCCAGCCGGCAAGCCACCGTGGCTTTCCTTGGGGACAGGAGTCCAGGGAAAGTCTCTTTGGGGGGACACAAAGGCAGGAGCTCTCATCTGGTGGGGATTATTAATGACCAGCCCACCCTACCCCATCACCTCCCCCCCCACACTCACACACACACTCACACACACACTCACATACACACTGATTTCTGTTTGGCTTTTCAAACAGTTGAGTTTTCTCTGAGTTTCCACTTTAATCCTCATGCTCTCTAGCCCCAAGTGAATTCCCAGGAGTTGGGGCCGGGCTTCTCCTCCTACCCGCCTTCTTCATTAGGAAGGGCAGGCGGCTCTGTGTAAGAAAACTAACAGAAGCCACGAACACACACACGCTGGAAGACACTTTGATGTCACGCCAAGAGCACGCTTGCACTTCGAGAAAAAGAGAGAGAGAGAGAAGTCAACATTTGTTTTGTTTGTGGTTTTTTTTTCCTCCCTCCACATTAAGTGGCGTTTAGTTGCCAGTAGGGGAAAAAAATAATTCTAAGGACCACTTTTTAATTCGATGGGTAGCAACCACAGGGGTCTAAAAGAAAATGACAACGACAGCTATAGACACAAATAACTAAATTACCACAACGTTACTATATCTCTCGGCTTCATTAATATGTAACAGACGCCTCACTTAATCTCCAAAAGCTAGCGTTGCCCCCTGTAAAATAGCACTCTGGGACGAATTGTACACGAGATCAATCACTGCTGACGCAGGAAGGTTTACTGCAAGGAAGGGGGGGCGGGTATTTACACCTTCAAACAGAAGCTTTGCAGATTCGAGGGTGAGAGCGGCCCATCACCAAGAATAAATGATTATGGATTGGCCAGCGTGCCCTCCGGGAACCGGGAACCGCCACGCCAAGCTATTTATCATTTCTTGGGTGGCAAGGATCCTGGAGGGTTTTTTTTAATATTATTATGATTATGATTATTAATTTTTTTCTTCCCCTGTCTTTTGCCTTTTAAAACTGTTTTGGGAAGAAAGAAAACACAGAACGCTTGACACCTAGAGGAGGGAAAAGTTTGTTTTTGCACAGTCCTCGGCCCTTAGATTGTTTACTCTGTGGCTGGGCCTGGTGTCCCCCAGCTGACACATCACAGGATCTACCCGGCTCCATCCCCCACCATCTGATTTTTATGGGGTTCTCCTCCTTCACGGCCCATTCCTCCTCAGATGCATCATCTTCCTCCCTGCTTGTACCTTCAGGAAAAAGAGGGGGGGTCGTGTCCTTCGCAGGCGTCCAGGCTGAGCCGTGGCCAGCGGGGAGGGGGTGCGCCCCGCCCCGCCCCGGCCGCCTGCCCGCCTGCCTGCCTGCCTGCCTGCCTGCCCGCCCGCCGGCCTGCCTGCCCGCCTGCCTGGCCTCAGTTGTCTGGGGAAACCACACTCTCCAGCCCAAGCACGGTCGGGACTCCTGGGGACCCCGCTTGCTGTTTGCAAGACAAAAGCATATGCAGTCCCGAAACATTCCAGAAAAGACAAAGGCTGCTGCGGGCACTGATTTAACCCTGGTTACCACTCCCAGGTCCCCGCTCCGCCCAGTCGCCCCCCCTGCTTCCCAGGCCCGCCTGGCTCCGGGAGGCGCTGGGGACGCAGGGGTCAGTGGTGGTGGTGGTGGTGGTGGTGGTGGGGAAGGTTCTAGGCAGGGTAGAAGGGCAGGCCGGGCCTCTGAAGGCCAGGGAGGGCCTGGACCGACCGCCTCATTTTGATCTGCGGCCCACGCAGCTGGCCGTCCACCCAATCCTGAATGGGGCAGCGCCCACGAAGGTGACAGAGATGGCACTCACCGGCGACCTTTGGGGTCAGCGGGTGTCTAACTGTAGGAGCCTGGGGACAGGGTTCTGGGGGGTTAGAGCCAGGTACAGGATGAGCCCTGCCAAGGCACCCCCCTCTCACAGCCTCCTGATTTACGGGGAGTCAAGGGGAGCCAGAGAGTGGGGGGGAGGGGCTGTGGTAGTGCCACAGGACCCTTCCCCCCCCCCCCAGGGAGAGCCACCGATGGGGCCACCATGCCATTGGGAACTGAGGTATAGGCTAGCGTTGGACGTTCGCAGCTCAAGAGCTCTGGCCTGGCTGGGCAAGCGGCTGGGCAGTCTCCCTAGGGGACAAGTCCAGCGACTGTCTGTCTGGGTGACAAAACCAGGACAGGTTCTCATTCGGTAGCAAGCAGGGAGGCCCACTCCACGCTCGCAGGGTGACAGGAGAAACACAAAGCGAACGTGTTTGGAGGAAGGCACCTGTGGACACAGGAGGAAGATGCTTCCCTTCTCCCCCCCTCAGTTTCTCCCCCCCAAAAAAGTTAATATAAAACGGTTGGGGTCTGAATATAAAGTATCTTATCAAGCACCCCAAGGCTCAGGACAGAGTACGGAGTCGCCACAAAATAAATCAATAGGCGGGGAGCAGGGAAAGGAATAGAATTGTTTATTGTATGTCATATTCCCTAACCTTCCCACGCCATTTTTCTCCATGGAATTTTCGTTCCTCTTGATAACTCCTGATAAGACTGAAAAACCGGCTTGGACTCCATTGCCCAGTGTATTTCCTTTCCTTTCCTTTCCTTTCCTTCCTTCCTTCCTTCCTTCCTTCCTTCCTTTCCCTTCCTCCCTCCCTCCCTTCCTTCCTTCCTTCCTTCCTTCCTTCCTTTCCCTTCCTTCCTTCCTTCCTTTCCCTTCTTTCCTTCCTTCCTTCCTTT